TAGAAAATAGAGATGAGTCAACACAGAAGCCTTTGAAGAAAGCAAAATCTCAAGCTCGAAGAACAGACAGATTCGAATACCGAAGAATGAAGCAGCGAAGCAAGGATCGCCGATGATAATCAGAGGCACTCCTCTGACACCATGATAGCTTCCTTAAGAGACTCCATGTGGATGACTCAATTAAGCTTTACAAAACTCCCCACGTGAACAATACACGTGGCACAAGACTAAAGCTTCAATCTGGTGCTTTAGTATGTACACTAACATACAACCTGTAAATTTGGCTGTAACTGAAACAAGATGATTCACACTTATATTTCAATTGAATTTGAGTAACGTGCACAGCATTTTTATATTTCATTTTTGTTTGACACTAAAAAATTTATTTTTGATGCGCACATCTTCGTTTTTTATGCAACTTGCCAACAATAATCTTTTAATTTCCAAGTCTTTTGTAATTGCCAAGTCTTTTGCCAGAGTCTTTTTTAATTGGTGATTTGTTAGATTGTTTTTTGATCTTCGCTGATTTGTTCTCTATAAATGAGAAGTGAGTTTGCCTATATCCTTGAATGCCAGAGAGGATGCATAGTAGACTCCCCTTCCCCACCGCAACTGGAGAAAAGCGGAGAAGGAATCACTTTCTTCGTAAATAAGTTAACTGCAGTTGGAAGAATTAGCTTTGATGTTTCTAGTTTCATGGTATTGTGTCTATCTCTCTCCTCACTTGGCATTTTGACAAATTTTCAGCCCCTTAATCTCTCTCAGTCACTAAAAAAACAAATACACACAAGAGACACTTGGTTGCATGATGGTATATAATTTTGTGTCTATCTCTCTTTTAACTGATACCCAAGGTTTTTCTGAAAGCAAGCATGGTGAAATTGGTACTTAGGTGACGAGGGGTAAATTTAAAAGATATTCAACCAAGAACGCAACAAACTTCACACACTCTAAACCTTGACCAAATACTCTTATGACTAGTCAACTGTCAGATATGAATTATACCAAACAATAACATACACAGAGCATATCAAGATGTACCTGCAAGCCTATAGAATTACTAGTGACAACCTAGGTACTCAGAAGGACCCGTCAATCTAGGCATCCCCTGTGCTAGCAACAACTATGGTGAAAGTGTGTGAAGACAGCATAATCAAGCAAACACCAAACAGTAGAAAAAGATGACTAGTCAACCGAAAGAATACAAACCCAGAATCATACGATGACTAGTCAACTATCAAGAATACAAACTCAAAAAATTTACAGCTATGTAAACCAGAAATTGTTCATCCAGAAACCCACCATTGGGAAAAACTGGGGGTCATCAACCAACCAGACAATCCACTAAGTAGAAAAAGATTCTTACAAAGAAACGCAAGCAAACTCAAGAAAAACCTAGATCTATTTAGGAAGATAAGTTATACCTCCTTTGTGCAATCTTCTTCTCCAAGTTAGCAAAGCTTGAAGCTCAGTTCTTCATGGCAATGGCAGCTCCTTCTCCAGCTCATTCATCCCATGGCACCAGCTTGCAAGCTCCAACTCAGACAGAAACCAAAATTTGAATTCAAAGGAGAATGACCAATTTCTTCAAGAAACCATACTCTTGAAGAAATCAATCTTGAATCTGACCTAGATATATATGAGAGAGTGTTTTAAGTAGTTAGATGCAGATTAGTATTCCAAACGCAATTTTTCAAAAAGAAATCAATTTGGAAAAACTCATAGATGAAAATAAGATGATTCTCTCGAGGAAGAAGAAGCAAAAGATGGCAAGCCAAACTTTCTAAAACTTCCACCCAAAAAAGACGGCTCCAAATGAGGAATTCATTGGCTTTTACCAAAAATTCCTAGGTCAGAATAGACACATAGCAGCTGAGAAATTCGTAGAAAAAGACAAAAAAAAATGGTTAGGCCCCAGCTAGAAACAATGAGCTGGAAATCCTAATTGAAACAAAGGTTGACTAGTCATACGAAGGAAAGATGACTAGTCATTATCTTCAGAAATTTAGTGAATGCAATGGAGTGCAATGCAGAATTTACCTTTGTCAAACACATTGTTTTCCATCAGAATGTAGCCAGATAAGAACACCTAGGGAAGTAATTCTTAATCTAAACTTAGAGCTTGAGAAATTACAATGATTGTCCTATTACAAAATTGTCAAGGGAAGCCAAAAGAAAAACTCAAAATGCATACATTAACACATGGGTTTCAAGGTTATGCGCATTATACACATAAAATATTTCTTCCTAGGCCATATACGCATTATCTATCAAGGTGGCGGCCCTAAAATATTTTCATGAAGACCCCACTTTCTACTCACCAAAGTTTGGAGTACATTTAAAAAAGAGTTAAATACTTTTTGATCAGCGGGTTCTACATGAAAATTCAATTTGAACATTAAATAAAAAATTTAACCAAATTGATCACCGTGTTTTTCAAAGTTTATAATTTATAGATATTTTGTTATCTTCAGTTCAATGAAGTTTTTATTTTTATTTTTTTAGGAAGCACATTTAGTCTTCTTCCTTTAACTCAACAAGTTAGGGTGTATTATGTTATTATAACAAACTGGGGAAATCATGGGAAGAATATAATGAAATGTCTATAAATTGTAAACTTTGAAAAACACGGTGACTAATTTGGCTAAAAAAAATTTAACCCTAAGAAATTACTGCTCTAAATACTAGAAAAACCGCACACTCTTGAATCTGAGTCCATTACTAAACAACTGATGGTATAATATAATAATATATAGATGCTTTATAAATGTTTTGTTCCTAAACTGATAGGAACTATATACGTTCTTAAGCTTAGTACCTCTTGATGAGGCAACGCCTGTGTTGAACCTAATATACCCCTTCGTGAGATAACAGGTGTTGAACTTAATACCTTACTGAGATAATACTTGGGGTCCTTGATCGAGCAGGGCCGGTCCAAAAATTTTGGGTTCGCGCCGGGCTCGTGCCTGGCTTTACATACTTCTTTTATTTTTCAGGCCGAACCAACATACAATCTGTAAATTTGGCTGTAACTGAAATATGATGATTCACACTTGTACTTCAATCAAATTTGAGCAATATGCGCAACATTTTTTATATTTCTTTTTTGTTTGACCCAAAAAAAAAAAAAAAAAAAAAAAAAAATTTATGCCCACATCTTCGTTTTTTATACAACTTGCCAACAATAATCTTTTTGGCCGGCCCAACAATAATCTAATGGAAACAAATTATTTCCTTTATTTCCATAATTTGGGAAGAAAGAAATTCGGCCCAGTTCGAAATAGATCGGTCTTTTTTAATTGCCAAGTCTTTTTCCAGTCTTTTTTAATTGCCAAGTCTTTTTTAATTGCCAAGTCTTTTGCCAAAGTCTTTTTTAATTGGTGATCTGTTAGCTTCTTTTTGGTCTTTCGCTGATTGGTGATCTATAAGTCAGAAGTGAGTTTGCCTATATCTATGACTCTGTGCGCATAGTGGGAATTTACAAGCTAGCTTCTACCTCGGCCTTTTTACAACTCAATCTGTGAGTGTGTTCGTTTAATTTTCTTTTTCTTGTTTGTTCTAACGTTTATGTTCTCGATTGACATAATACCACCATGGGTCAATTGGCAGATTGAACATGGCAGCTACAACTGTCACTAGTGCAATCCCTAATCCCCCAGTTCTTAACCAGTATAACTATCAAGATTGGAGTTTCCGGGTTAAACTCTACTTGTTAGCTGAAGATCTTTGGGACGTTGTGGAAGCCACCACTGAACCTCCTAAATCAGAAGATGGTGAAGCTGATTTTAAGGCTTGGAGGAAGAAAGATGCCAAGGCTTTAATTGTAATCCAGAATTATTGCGGGTCTGCTAATTACTCCTTAATCTGGGGCACTAAGACCGCCAAAGCTGCCTGGGATACTTTGGCCGAAAAGCTAAACCCAGTTAAAGGTACGTAGTCAAAACAAGCATGCATGTTTTACACCTAAATGACTCTGACAGAATGGTGGGCACATCTGTATATATGTATGGTTCGATCTAGGTTACTGTATTTTCTTTTTTTCTTTTTATGATGGTACAGCTGCAGTAGTAAACATTATTTGACTGTGCAAAAGGCTGAGTAAAACAATAGGTAGAATATTCATATTGTGGGTGCTTTACGCATTTGTAATTGAATTTTGAAGTGTTTACTTGTATATTTACGATTGCTAACAAATTTTTTCATTGAGTGTAGGACATATGTGGCATAAATTTCTCGCAAATATATAGAATGTTTTTATAAAAAAAAAAAAAAAAAATTTGAAATGGTTCATGAATTTATTCTCGAGTTCCATTTTGATTCTCTAACTAAATTTTTCAATCCATTGGTTCTCCAACTTTCTCTTTTGTGTTAAATTGGTCCCTCCATCAAATTTGTCGTCAAATTAAGGGGTAAAATTGTCAATTTATGTTCTAATCTCCTCTAAAATGACCATTCCATCTTTGTAACGAACATTTCCCTCCGTAAGACGTTTCTCTTATGGGATAGAGTTTCAATTTGGAGGAGAGAGTTATGGCTTATGGAGGGAAATGTTTGTTACAAAGTTAGGTTGGTTGATTTAGGAGATTAGTGCCCAAACTAATGGTTTTACCCCTCAATTTGATGGCAAATTTGATAAAACTTGACTGGTGGGACCAATTTGACATTAAAGAGAAAGTTGAAGGACCAATGGAGTGAGAACTTTAGTTGAAGGACTAAAATAAAACCCGTGCATAAGTTCAGGGACCATTTCGGTCAAAGCCCCAGTGTAAAATTATGGTTTCCTTCATCAATTTATACCTCGAGGGGGCAAAATGAAAATAAAAGAATTTGGACCTTAATTAAAAATTCAATGGACTCGAACCAATATAGAAAAAGAAAATGGACTAAATCCAATACCACCTTAAGCTTTTGAGTTGGGACCTAGATGCCAATTGAGAGTCTATAGAATTACTCATTTTGACTTAATTAATTGATATTTTCTTATCATGTGTGCGATGCAGAGGAGTTGTTTCCGTTGGTGCCACGGGAAGACTTGAATATCAGTCCGACGTCGAATGATGGTATGTGATCTCTCGTAGACTTTTTTTTTTTTTTTTTTTTTCTTCTTCTTGTTCTGTTTCCCTTCAATATCTAATCTTTAACTTATCCACTGACTGACAAGAATTTTCAAGAATTTTGTTTGAGTGAGTTGGACGCTGACAATTCTCAACAAATTTTAATTTATTAAAGCAATAAAAACTTTGGCAGGAAATGAGAGTAACACCAGCGTCTTCAATGAGTTCGCCCTCCATCAACCCTTCATTGATAGTGTGACAGAGGGTGATTGGGATTTAGCGAAGGAGTATCTTAGTCGAAATCCCGAAGCAATCAGAGAAAGAGGTTCAACATACGGTTTGACAGCTCTTCACATGGCAGTTGCGCTTGAAAATGTAAATATGGCGAAAGCGTTGGTGGAGTCGATGACGGAGGAAGACTTGGAAATACAGGACGCTAATGGTCTAACAGCTTTGACCCACGTTGTGAGTAGAGGAATCACACAATTGGCTAAGTGCATAATTGAAAAAAACAAGAAACTGCTTAGCCTTCCATCTCTTCCAGACAACTTTATTCCACTTGTCTGGGCTTATAGCATCGGCCATTGGGAATTGGCTCGCTACCTCTATTCTGTTACTCCACTCGAAGCTCTGTTGCAAGACGACGGCTGCGGTGGCTCTGAGATTGTTTCGGAGAGTTTTAGGGCCAAAAAATTAGGTATGTGTTTCCAATTTAACCTTTTGCCATATATTAAGATTCATTCGTTTTTCTTGTCACTCACTCCTCCTCTACCCTTTTAGATATTGCATTGGATTTAATTCGGCGTTGCCCAAACTTAGCCGTTGCTAAAAACTACTCTGGGTTGACCCCTTTGCAAATGTGCGCTAGTACGCGTTCTGGATTTTTAAATGGAATGCATCTCAAATTTTGGCAACAATGGATTTATGACTGTTAGTACTACATTCTCTCTACTATTTATTTAAGGCTTATATTACTGTAGTGTCTCTGAAACTTCGATCAAATCTCACTTTACATCTCAAAGTTAAAGTGGCCCACTTTCATCCCTTTAAATTTGATGACGTGGCATGGATGTTTTTGTAATTTCATACACATGAATTATTAAACTAATTGAGTGGGTGAGATGGATAACACATGGAATTAAAACTTAATTAAAAATTCTTCATTGTTTAAATTAATTAAAGAATTTAAAATAAAAATATATAAAATAATAAAATAACAAGAAAAATTAGAAAAAGTAACCAAAAAAATTCAAAAACAAACCCAGGCCATCTCATCCTCCCGACCCCATCCTAATTACCTCTCCCCCATCTCATCCTTCAGACTCTCTCTCTTTGATTGCCTTCACCTGACGAATCTTTCATCTTTTCTTTACCCCTTCTTTATTTCTTTGGTTACAAACTTCTGTTATGGCTGCTGCTTTTATGTCCAGCAATCTCTCTATCAGCCTCTCTCTCTCTCTCTCTCTCTCTGCGCACAAAGAACACATATTCAGATCTGGGTTAGGGTTGTTGCTCTCTCTCTTCCCGTTTCGCACACAGAAGACAATGCCGTACGCAGACCCAGTTTACCGAAACAAATTCAGAGGAGTCCGCTAGTGGCCATGGGGTTGTTGGGTGGTGCAGTGGGTATCGTTGCTGGTGGTGGGTGGGGATGGGAGAAACACAGTGGGTATATGATTTTAAATTAAAATATCAACCTGGGTTGGGGGGTTTGAAGAAACAGAGAGAGAGAGAGAGAGAGAGAGAGAGAGAGAGAGATGACGTTTGGGTGGCTTGGGAACTGATCTTCACTGTAATTTTGTTTTGCTTTTGCTCTCCTTCTCATTTTCAGAGAGATTAGAGATAAAATGATGATGGAAGGATGGGGTTGGTGGCTGGCGAGGATTGTGGCGGCTGGGGGAGTGATTGGGTGTCGGGTAGGGTTTTTAATTATTAGAATATATATCTTTTTTTAATTTTGTTATTTTTAATTATTAGAATATTTAATTATATGTTTATCTATGGGAGGTGAGCTCAACTTGCTATGTCACCCACTCAATTGGTGTAATGATTCATGTGTATAAAATTACAAAAACACTCATGTCAAGTCATCAAATTTAACAGAATTTTGGATGGAGTTGATGGCAGAGGGCAAAGTGGGTCACCAAACCTCGATAAAGGGATGAAAGTTGACCTTTTTTATTAAGGAAGGTAAAGGGGTAAAGTGAGATTTGACCGAAGTTTCAGAGGCATTATAATAAATAAGCCTTTTTTTAAAGTTATGTCCCATATTTTTTTTGGACTTCATATAATAATTTATTTTTTAGTCTAATTAAAATACGAAAGTAAAAACAGAAAATTAAAATCAACACCTCCTGTGGACTTTTCCCAACATCAGCCACCCACATTTCCACCCTAGTCACCAAATTGATTTTCCCACCCAACCCCAGCAACACACCCCCATCGGTTTTGATCTCCCTAGCACCCACCAAGCCCAATAGATCTCTATCTCTGTACCGCTTGAGCCAACCTACCCGGGGCACTTACCAGGCCCGGCCCTGATGCAGAGCGAGAAGGGCTACTGCCCTGGGCCCCATCTCAAGGAGGACCCCAAAATATTTATTTATTTTATTGTTCTTTTAAAAGTTGCTTCTAAAATAGTTTCTTACTAGTATATATAAGTATGGTATATATAAAGGTCTAGAGTATATATAAGAAGCTAATAACATCAAGATTTTTGAAGTTCCATCTTGCATTAATGGTTTCTCCTTGATTTTATTCAAACCAAATCTATGTTCAAGTCCTACTAGTTTTAAGAAATAAAACTTTTTTTTTTTTAATGATGCTTGATGAGTGGATGTTCTTATTATAAATGTATCAAGTGGACTATCTTTGGAAAAAAAAAAAAAAAAAGGGACTATAAATGACTTTGGAAGGACTAATTTGTGGTTTATATAATCAACATATATTGTTCTACCCGTCTTTCTTCCTTTGGTGCATTTTACTACTTAAAATGTCATATTTTTCTTCCAATCTCTTTCTTCTTTTTTTTTTTCTTGTGTTCAATTATTGCTTTATATATAAAAAAATTTAAACATTTCCACAAGTAAAATTAAATTTTTTTTAAGGCTTAAATTTTGTTACTAGTTGTAAAAGGTCTACATTCTATATACACACGTACAAATGAAAACAAAAATTTTTATTTGTAAGTAGTCTTGCATTTATAGGGCCTTCTTTTTTACTTTGCCTTAGGCCACCAAAATCTTAGGGCCGGCCCTAGCACTTAACCCCCACACCCAACTTTTTCCGACGCACACAGAACCTACACCCACGAACTCTCCAAGAATGCCACTAGTCCGTTGTGGCTGGTATCCACCTTTTGGATCGGAGCCCGGAGCTGGTGATGGCTAGGCTTCTGCCCTAGTGATTACAGCAAAAAGCCTAGCTGAAACACAACCCAAAGCCTAGTACATAAGTTTGAATTTTCATTTCTCTCCGGTGATAAAGAAATGATTGAACCTTCTATTTGAAGAAAGATAAATATTGTTAACTACTTGAATTACAAATCAATTACTTAAATTTCATTATGAAATGCTAAGAGGACCACATTATTGTACCACGATGTGTGGCACATATAAAAATGAAACCTCTACTTGTATCGGTACATCCTATTTCTATTAAAGAGGTAGTATACAATATAGTAAAAGATGTTCTCCTTTGTTGGAAGCACTTTGTGGTCAGGAGCAAGCCGAATTCCGAGAAGGGATTAATCCCACCATTCAGATGTGAGGACATCTCATAGTATTTACCAGAAAAAAGAAAAAAAAAAAGTTCTCCTAACATCACATATTTATTATTGTTGTGTATTAAAGAGGTATGTAAAAATAATGTGTTCTTATACCATCACTCATTCATTATTTTTGTATATGCACATGAACTTCCATGTTCACGACACAAAAATCACTATATAGGGGAAGGCTCTTACATCAAAAGGAAACATTTAACATATTGATTAGGATTTGTTCTTGTGTTGATAACCTGATAGGTATACACGTACGACCTCATTCAGCAGTTTATGATATTTGCATAAATGTTGAAAATGTCGAAGATGGCCCAATTAGTAAAAGGGATCTCATAGTTCGCTCAGGTATGATATATATGAAAAGTGGCATTACGACTTTTATTGGTCTTTTTTTATATATTTTTTATTTTAATTTCTAGGTTGAATAAGCCAGTTTTGATTGTTTTGAAGACCAACATTGAGGTTAAAACTTAACATTGTGATCAAAGTATCACATGGTTTATTTATTAAAATTAAACCTACTAAGCACTTAACATATGTGGGTTAGTTTAGTTGACTAGGCAATGTACCTTTCTCCTTATACCTAAGTTTGTGTTCCTCCCCAAACGTTAGAGTAGTTTAAAATAGCATATTGTCAACAAAAAATTAACTAATGAATACCTATTTGTCATCATAAATATCATACACATTAATAAGAACATGGCAATGTTAGGTATGCCACATTTGTATACCACCTTGTGTACCACCTCTCTAAGAGCACTTCCACCCTTATGGGCAAAGGCAAGGCAAGGACTGTCACTATTCATGTGAATAGTGGCAGCCTTTGCAATTTTGTTTCCACCCCTATGGACTAGGTAAGGGCAAATACTATTCACATGAGATATGAGGAGATGAATTTTTATAGAGTTTTTGGTGTGGGAAGTAAAGAATATGGCTAGGTATTTATAAATAAAAAAATTCGAAAAATTTTGGTTTTTTTATTATTTTTTTTCCAATTTGTTTTTTTGTTGCTGACGTCAGCATTTTGTCATTTTGCCCAGGCAGCAGCTCAGGCTAAACTTGCCTGTGGGCTTGCCTGGGCTCGTGGGACCCACCCATTGCCTGGGCTGGACTCGGCACGGTGGAGTTGGATTCTTGCCCTTGGGCCCCCTCTTGCCCTGTTGGCCTTGCACACTGGAGATGCTCTAATAGGGATGGAGTCCAATAATACAATGTGGTCCACTAATAAATGTGGTACACAAAGTAGTATATAAATGGACAATTACATAGGGATTATTAACCTGGGACTAGGGGTACTGCTAGCATTTTTCATAAGAACAAGAGAGAGAATTATGAGGGTGTGGGATAGCATGTTTTGACGTGGCCCACTAACTGCTCCTCGTATATGTGAAAAAATTAATATTGTCAGCACATAAGAGTTTTTCTTCTTCAGAATGAAAATGAATGAAACCAGAGCGTTTAAATACGTAAGTATTTGAGGAACATCCTCTATAAAAGCCATTTGTATAGTCAGATTTATTAAAATCTCGATACACTGATTAAATAAAACATATTTTAAATAGAGAGATTTATTATTATACCCAAACATATGTACATGTCCAAGTACTAACGTGCTACTGCGGAATATAATACTGGCCAATGATACTGAGAATATACAACATAGTGTATGGCCTTGTTCACCATGACCATATTATACATAAAACGACTGACTATACTAGCGCAGGAACTTTGAGGCATGTGCTTCCCCAATTTGCATGTCTGTGGTCATATTTGTGGCGAGAAGTTAAATATTTTGTCAAAGAAGAAAAAGTTGTATGTATAATATATATATATATATATATATATATTTGAAGCATGTACACCGTCATTTCACTGTTATAAATTCATTCTAATTTAGGTATAAGAGGCGGGTTTATTGTCCTGATCAAGTGGCATTTCTCACATCTATATGTTGAATTTAAATTTTAAAATCAATGATTGTACATGTATTAAAATTTGAATGAAAATTTGAATGAATTCATAACATTAAAATGACATTGTACATTACTATCACACACAAAATTTGTGATTAAAATATTCTCTAATGCAAACATATTTCGATTTGCAATAGGTATGGGTATACTGCGAGGACTTGTTCCAAATCCCCGTAAACTTTTTGGTACGTAATGTTAAATATCCACACTTTGTTAATCTTTTACTTCGATTTTCAGTACGTATAATTATTCGTTCTCTTAAATCTTATTTCACTTAGTAATTAATATTGTTTTATTTATGTCATCCAAGGAATTAATCACATATATAAGATGAAATGGACCCACGAAAGAACATCTGAAATTCTACATTCCATGTGCGAAGTGATAGAGGGTAAAAGTGTTAAACAACTGCGAGGAAGTGTCGTGGAAGCAGCAATCTTCGAAGCCATTAAACAAGGGCATGTTGAGTTTGTTCGTGAGATGTTTCTAGCAAACCAAGCAGCGAGTGGGCTCATTGGTGAAAATGGGAAGAGCATGCTTCAGTTTGCCATTGAATGTCGTCAAGAAAAAGTCTATTTCTTTTTATATAAATTTACCGGAGTAGTGCCTAATTGGTTAACGAGTATAGACCATTTTGGCAATACGTTGCTACATGCAGCAGCGAGTTTATCCCCAATTGCACAGCTTAATCATATCCAAGGTGCGGCTTTGCAACTGCAGAGAGAATTACAATGGTTCAAGGTCAGAATTTCTCTACACATTTCGAGGATTAGAACATATTCTTTTCCTTTTTTTTTTTGGTCAAAAGCATATATTCGAGGATTAGAAAATCAGTAATTGCTTCAACGAAATGCAGGAGATTGAAAAAATTGTACCTCCCAAGATTCTTGAGGTTGTAAATGTTACAGATGGCATGACAGCACGTGATTTGTTTACTAAGAACCACAAAGAGTTGGCGAAAGAAGGAGAAAGATCAATGAAAGAGACAGCAACTTCTTGTACGGTTGTAGGTGCGCTTATCATTACCATCATGTTTACTGCAGCATTCACAGTTCCAGGTGGAAACAACGGAAATACAGGCATGCCCTTGTTCTTAGATAAAAGGTTGTTTCAGGTCTTTATAGTTTCTGATGCCCTATCACTCTTCTCTTCCACGACTTCTGTAATGACATTTTTGGGAGTCCTCACCTCACGCTATGCCGAAGCTGATTTCCTTAAATCATTGCCAACGAAAATGATTATAGGCCTTTTCACCCTCTTTTTCTCCATAGCCACCATGATGATTGCGTTTGTTTCTACCCTTTTTATTATGTTGGGTGAAAATTCATGGATTGTGATTCCAATCATTTTACTTGCTAGTGCTCCAGTCGTCTCCTTTGCATGGATGCAATTTCCCCTCCTTGTTGACATCTTCATTTCTACTTATGGAGTAGGAATATTTGCCAAAAGAGGCAAACCTTTGGCAGCAACAGACTCCTTTTGACATGAATCGATCTGTCTGATTGTAAGGGAAGGACTTGTATCATTATCTCAATTTCAATTCAAACATGGATTATTCACATTTGGATTTTGCATTTTTGCTGATATTTGTTTCTATCAATTTTAATAAAGTTTTAAGGACTTGTGCAAAGAAATAAATGATGTATGTATGTAACATCCCACATCGACCAATGGAGAGGGGGTAATGTGTCTTACATGTACATGCTCACCTCCATCTAACACAAAATCTTTTGAGAGCTCACTGGCTTCGGAGTCATAGGAACTCCGAAGTGAAGCAAGTTTGGGCTAGAGCAATCCCAAGATGGGTGACCCACTGGGAAGTGCTCGTGAGTTCCCAGAAACAAAACCGTGAGGGTCTGAGTTCCAACATATCCAAGTATCTTAGTAATCCAAATCCATTCCATAATTTCCGTAACCAGGGAGGTACATAGGGTAGTGCGTATAGCACTTCAACTAACATACTAATAACTCATTTCTTTCCACAATCTCACATTAATAACTCAAAAACCCCACACATAACCAACATAGAAATTCTCAAAATTCAAATATATAAACTCAAGATACTCAAATGTGCCAAAACCCAAAATATATATATTGCAAATGCTTTATAAAAACATCAAGTTCAACAATTGAATATAATGTATTCAATAAACCATTAAAACATGATGCATAATGTTTCCATCATAAAACCATGTTTATTGTTTGAAACAAAGTTCACTCACAAATAGTCCCACGTTGCCTGACCCTGAGAGGGTCCCGCCTGTTGCATATTCCTGGTCGGAGTACCTATTTCAGAATATGAGTACGAGATTAACACAAAGCGCTTCAAACAAGAACTTTAAATTAAAATCCTAGTTTCCCAGGTTTCAAGTAAGTGCATGAGGAACGAGACAATCCTAAAGTCCAACTACGTGTTTCGGGTGAAGATATAGCCTTGAAAGACGCTCGGTCAACCAGGCGGTCAAACTTCCCAAATTGGGTCAACCGGGCCCACGGGACCTGCGAAATCCGATTTCTGTTTCAGAAGTTCCTAAGGGTTCCACAAGGTTTACTAAGCACGTCCTGTAAGTTTGGTTCCAATCGAACTGCCGCATCGCTCACGATCGTTCGATCGGACGGTTATTGTAAAACACAAACTTTAAGTTGTTGAATCGGAACATTCAGAGCTCTGATTCACGATCCGTGAAATCCTACACGATCCTGGAAAAGCCTATATCAACATATATTGAAATGGAGTCGATCCAATGGTCCAAACATATCGGACCCTAATAACACCTAATATGCGATATCCGATCAACGACCAAACGATAACCAAATTGAAATCAGAGTATACCGTCGTGCTCAGGACTACATGAGGATTATTTTAGGACTCAATGACATGCCACCATGTGGCCCACGCTCCGCCCCAAGGGCCAATAGCACGTGGGTGTCCAAATCAAATTCAGCGATCGGAAAAACTCCAAACCGCAGGCCAAGACTTACACTATAGGATTAGCATGTTGAGTGGAGCAACTTTTTTTCTTGGAACTACCCCCAAAAAGTCAACGGAAGTGGCCGGAATCAAAGGCCAAAAATTGGCCAAACTTCCATCTCTTATTTGATTTGCTAAACGCAAAAAATTTCTCAAAACTAACACAACCAGTAGCTAGAACACGTTGAGAGGTTGAAAAATCGTACCTGAATCGTCAGAAATGGTGGCCGAATCACCCGAAACGAGCTTGAGAAAATCTGTCAAAGCCGTCAAAAATTCGGTCTGTTTCTGGACTGTTTTCGGTGACCACGACGGCGGATCGAGACTAGGACCGGTTTGGAATCGAAGAGGAAAGTGAGGCAGTTCTAACGGGACCGGTGCCTCCCCAAGTGGTGGCATATAGGATTATATTTTGGGTCGGGATGTTACACCAACAGCCTTGTCAAACTCACTCACCAAATCTAGGACTCCTCTTTCACTCTTCAACACATTTATTAAGTTTTGGAACAAAAAAAGCTGTCTTGAAATGGTACAAACATACATGGGGTTGAGTGAACAATAATGAATTATTATTTAAATATTAATTTGATATTATTAACCGAATTTAATATTTGTATTTGATTAAAAAGAAAAAGAAAAGTCAAACATTAAATTAATTGATTTGAAAAGGTTGATGGGGTTGCAAAATAGTAGAGTAGTAAACTTTACCATTCAATTTTCCACGTAGGTCAACAAACCACAATTTGAATAGTTTAGTTTGAAGAGACTATTGGAGATGCTCTAGGAACATCCTCAATAGGCTCCTTAAACCACCTCATTAGACAAATTGGGGAATGCTAGCAATCTTCTCTCTAATATTCTCTTTTGGACTTTCTCTCTTTTTCTTATGACATGTACTCTCTTCATACTTAAAACAATGTCATTAATTTTTCCTTTAATTTATCCAAAAAAATTTAATAACTTTCTTATCACCTTATTTAATAAAAAGAAAATTTGAAAGAAAAATATTTTTTTTTATTTAGAAAAAAAAAATAATCTGAGTAATAAGGCCCATAATTTTGTTGCACAAAACAATTTTGAAAGAAAAAGGTCACTTCAAGACCACAACCAAGTAAACAGCAAAAAAATGATGTTTTTTATTATTTAATTTTTTAATAAGGTGGTAAGGAAATTATGAAAAAACAGGGATAAGTTGAAAGAAACATAAAAGTTAAAACATATAATAAGGATAAATTTGAAAAACAAAAGATAGTTTGTATGATGCATTAATGACATAGTTTTAAATGTAAGGAGAATGGCACATGTTATGAGGAAAAGGGATGAGGTCCAAAATAGAAAGAGAGAATGTTGCTAGCATTCCCCAGACAAATTTTAGGGAGGAATTGGAAAAATACAACTCCAACCATACTCCCTATCCACCTCATAAAATAAGGAGACTTCTAGGAGTTCCTAAATCTGAGGAGAGAGAAATGACTTCTAGTTGCTCCCTATAATTTAATGATGCTTTGTTTTATTGCATAATTTTAAACTTTTAATTAATGCTAGTTATTTTTTATTTTTTATTTTTTATTTGGTTGAGATGGACCAATTATATTGAATTAAAAAATAATTATAATATTTATGACTCGCTAAACTAGAGAGTATGATTGGAGTTCAAATTTTATAGAGAGCTCTTAAAATAGCTTTGTGCATTTTTTAGCTACATTTTAACTATAAAAAAAAATAAAAATAAAAAAAGGAGTATGATTGCGGATGCTAGTGAAGCAAGATTCGGCTGATATTAATAATTCAAAACTATTAATAACTAATGTTCACCTAAAAGCCCTACGCACAATGTCAAGACCAAATCTGGTTATCACTACACCTCAAACGTAAAGTTACGTTGGAGCATGGAGATAAGCTCTCACTTTCTTAGAAGAAGATGCTTCGTTACGCTGCACCATCAAGCTCCTTCACTCTTTAGGAGTAAATACTAGATATGTTTGACCAATATAAGCCCATAGTCCTTGGTATACTTACGAGGACAATTGTAACAAATAGTCATTAATTTATTTAAATTTCTATTTATTTCTTGTGAAATCACTACCTTCACAATATGGGTATTTTGGTCAATTTTTGTTCGGGATAAGTTTTTAAAATTTCTTTGTACTATTTCATAGAGCTCACTCTCACGAGTTCATGGACACTTACCGGGCTTGAAGCGGAGTTTTAATGAAAAAGTTAAGATCAACAGATTTCAAGGGGGAATTCGGGGCTGATCCTTTCAAAAATAGTCTAACATGATAGTTTGATAAATAAGTCTAACTAGGATTACATGAACGCTCCTCGGATTATGGAAAAAGTGGATCTATGACAGTTAGTATCACATTTTGTTTTCTCTTGACTATTTAACGTTATGTCCCAATATCCTAATATCCCACATTCTGTTTTCTCTAGAGTCTTATCCATCATGATGATAATAACTTTGTGATTATATGCTACAACATTTGATATTTATAATATCTTTACAAGCTGTTTCTCAAAGAAGAAGAATTTCACATGTATATAATTTGATATTTATATTTATAACAATTACATGCTAATTACCAAATAAAAAATTACATGAAAAACTATTTTAGGAATTTACACATGTTTCTTTGTGTATCATAACCAATTCTCACATTATTGTGATTATGGAAAAATTCTTTGAATAGTCGTATCTTTCTCTACGATTTTTTTTCCTTCTACATTTTTACCTCGCTATGCTACGACTTAGTGGGTAACCTGATACACGACTCGAAACTCGCAAGGGAAATTAGTGGGTCAACCTGACATGGCACATTTATTAAACGGGTCGGATTTAAGTTGAGTATTTTTTACACGTATATAATCCTAACATGACACAAACCGGACACGATATTACTCATTGCCAACCCTTATGTCCCTTAGTTTTGTCCTTTTGTTCTATAATTTGGGAAGAATTAAGGTCGGCCCATTCTATGAATTCGAAATGGGTCGAAGCCCACCCTCCTCTTCCATAAACAGCTTGTTTGAAACAGGCCGGAAAAAAAAAACAGAACTCTGCAAAAGCTCTGTTGCGCCCAATTCATCCCTCTCCGAAGATGGAGACGTCCAGTCGCCCCAGCAAGCGGCAACCACAGTGGCTTTAACTCTGATTCTCTCTCTCTCCCCAGCTCTGGTACGTAAAACTTTTTCTTTAACTTCCCCACAAGCCATAATTTTACTTACTGATCTGTATTATATTCCTCTCATTTCTTCGATCATCCTCCATCAAAATGATTTTTTGCTATTATTAATTAGCTAAAGATTCCAGATTTCTTCATCGCATTCTTAGTTTTGGTTAATTCCAGAAGAAAATGCTTGAATTTGTATTCTTACGTGCTTGTTTAGCCAGGTCTTCCTGTTTCGTTTGCCCAAAGGCATCGTTTTGCTTTCGTTTTTGTTCTTGAGCTGTATATGTTTTGGTTGTGGAACCCTAGGGCGTAAGCTTCTAGCTGAAGACTAAACTGATC